TGTTTTAACACAGCAGCTGTAAGGTTTGCATATTAGCACCTTTCCACATGCTTTCACTCTGCATTTGTATCCACCACGTTTGTACACAGGGTCAGAACGAACTGTAGTGTAACGGTTTCATTTACTGTAGGATAATGAAGCTTTAGTAAAAACTTTGTGTCCTATCTGTAGTGTTTATGGCAAACATTGTCATAACTACATAGTGACTGACCTTCATTGCTCTCAAGCAAAACACAAGTTGATAGTACAGCTGGCAAATACAATTATCTTTTAATTCACTGTGGATAAACTCATAAGTAACTTTGAGTAGCCGACTGAGTTAACTCTAAATGTATTGTCACAGATCCTGATCCTCCAAACGGCCAAAAACAAGGCATCCATGGCTCTGGGGTTCTTTCTTAAAGCTGCAAAGAAACCCGACTTTCCATCCAGGTATTCTACGCCGTCTTGTTTTGCTTTTGATATTAACATTTAATATGTGAACAATTAAAATGTTTAATTTAGTAACTTCTGTGCACTTAAAACTACATCAGTGTTCAATTTTATAGCAGTAGGTTAAACAATTCTCTAAAATATCTAATTAGGCTTCATCATAGTGTTAGAAATTACCCGGTTCTTTTGTTGGAAGCGTGAGAAGTGAAGACAGGAGAGGACTGTTTAAAATCAACAGGAAGTTTACTCAAAGTCTGGGCACAGTGACAGCGCTGAATTCACAGAGACAGAGCTCCTGCAGAAAAACCGGCTTCTGAATCCTGAATTAAGTTTTTACAATACATTTTATCTTCTTGGGCTGCTCTGCCCTTGACAGAGGTACAACATTCAACAGCTTTTTGATCCTATTGTTCATTTGGTGTGAACCGTAGCTCCCCCTTGTTAGAATGTGGTAAAGTCTAGGTATGTGTGTGTGTGTCTCAGGTTGTAGCCCCCGGCCTCTGCAAGACATCCCAAGACAAAGCAAAGCTTGGGATATGCTAAGTGGGTCGAGGTGTGACTGTAAAACAGGCCTTTGCTAAAATGTAAATACAGTGCCTTGCGAAAGTATTCGGCCCCCTTGAACTTTGCGACCTTTTGCCACATTTCAGGCTTCAAACATAAAGATATAAAACTGTAATTTTTTGTGAAGAATCAACAACAAGTGGGACACAATCATGAAGTGGAACGAAATTTATTGGATATTTCAAACTTTTTTTTAACAAATAAAAAACTGAAAAATTGGGCGTGCAAAATTATTCAGCCCCCTTAAATTAATACTTTGTAGCGCCACCTTTTGCTGCGATTACAGCTGTAAGTCACTTGGGGTATGTCTCTATCAGTTTTGCACATCGGTGTGTGTGTGTGTGTGTGTGTGTGTGTGTGTGTCTCAGGTTGTAGCCCCTGGCCTCTGCAGGACATCCCAAGACAAAGCAAAGCTTGGAAAACCGGCTTCTGAATCCTGAATTAAGTTTTTACAACACATTTATCTTCTTAGACTGCTCTGCCCTGGACTAGAGTGCAACCTTCAATAGTTTGTGATCCTATTGGTCATTTGGTGTGAGTAGGTCAACCCCGGCCTGCGCTTGCTTGCTGACATGTGATCTAGCCCAGGTGTGTGTTTGTGTGTGTGTGTGTGTGTCTCCGGCCCCCTGATCTTGATCTCGAGGTGCACTGATCAATGGGTGGCCTGAGTTGCAAATTTCAAAATAAAGCTAAATATTTCAAAGGTATGAGATTTAGAAAAATTCTGAAGAGAAGCATGAATGTACTTGGAGAGCTGAACATTTTGATACCCGAAATAGCTGAAAGTATGCTGAGTGTAGAATTTCCCCATTCATTTGAATGGGGCAAGATTTTCAAAATGAAGCTCAATATTACACAGGCATGAAGTTTAGAAAAATTCTGAAGAGAAGCATGTATGTTCTTGATAAGCTGAAGATTTTGATACCTGAAAGTATGCTGAAGTAGAATTTCCCCATTCATTTGAATGGGGCAAAATTTTCAGAATAAATGCTGAATAGTTTAAAGAGTATGAAAGTTGTAAAAAAGTTGAATACATGCCATAATGTCCTGAAAAGCCTGAACATTTTGATACCTGAAAGTATACTGAACTTATTAAGATGTGAACATTTTCTGATTGGTCCCCAAAAAGTAGGTAAAACAATTAGAGTTGTGTGGGTGTGTAGGTGTTTGTGTGTCTGTGTGTATGTGTGTGTATGAGAAAGAAAGACTAGTCCTACACACCGATAAATACTAGAGTGTGCCTATTGAAATGCGACACAAAATAAATGGTAATTATGCAAAAACTGTAAAAAAAAATATCAAAAGGCTGTTTATGGTATGAATAGTTGAAGAGTTGCTGAATAGTTATTAGTTGAAATTGTGTTTTTAGCTGAAGGTATGCTGAAGATATTAAGATGTGAAAATTTTTCCCATTCATTTGAATGGGCAAAATTTTGCTGAAGAAAGCCAAATAGTTTAAACAGTATAAATGTTACAAACAATAAAAATACAAGCACACATGTCCTTAAAGAGTTGAACATTATGATACCTCAATCGCTTTTGTAGCTGTAAGTATGCTGAAGAAATTTAGTGCCGAAAAATAGACGAAAGAAATCAGAAAAATAACTAGAAAACTGCATTTCCTGTCGAAAATGCGTGTGTGGATGCGAATTGCTGAAAGATCGCCCTGAATATGCTGAAGACTTTGAAACACACACAGAGGAAAGCGGAGCAGGGGGCACGTGACACTACAGCGGGGGTAATTGGAACAGAATGGAGTCATTGACTTTGAATGGAGCAGTAGACAAAATATAGATATGGATTAAAAATAAACCGTAAGAGATATCAAGAAGATATTTACAACATCAATGCCTGATTATATCACGAGTTGAATACAGTTAAAACTGCGTTTCTAGCCCACGCTATTCCTGAAGTTAAGGTTCAACTTCTCACGAGTTCACAAGCAGCTTTTGACAGCGTCTGCAGAGACAAGCAGGCAGCGAAAACCGACGTGCATTTCAGCATTCAGTTTCAAACAAACAGAGCACCCTGTTGTGTTAGCACACTGTTGTATTATGTCATGATATTAAACAGATTGAAGGAACCGCGGCGTTATATAATTACAAAGACGTTTGCCTTCCAGCGCGTATTATTTGACTGCAAGTCAGTCAGGAGCGACAGAGTGAGAGACGGCGATTATCAAAGTGACACCCAATATTAATATATACAGCACTTTGTTGTGCTATTGCACTGTTGTATTATGTCAAGACTAAACAAAATGAAGGAACAGTTACGAT